GTTGCTGGGGGTTATGGCCTGCAACCCAGGCATGGACCCTGGCTGGGAATCGAACCTGCGACACTTTGGTTCGCAGCCTGCGCTCAATCCACTGAGCTACGCCAGCCAGGAAAATAAATAAAGTCTTAAAAAACAACTCAGGAATGGGGTAGAGAATTGTGCACCGGACCAGTGGGTGCAGAGGGCCCCTGCGGGTGCTGAGGAGACTGGGTCTGGGAGTGTCCCACTGTCAGTCTCGATGGCCACCCCTGTGGGCAGGGTGAAGACCTTTGTACTGGGTGCTCTTCTTCTCTTTGTTTCAGTTGCCTCTCAGGGTGGGTGCCCCAGAGTGAGAGCACCGGCTGCTGTCTCTGGGTTTCTGTCATTCCGGGTGATTTATAGCCAGCGGTTCAGAATTAGTGGGGCTGCTGGGGGTGGGGAGGTAGGGGCTCCTAATAGATACCAGATGTAAATAATACGGAATGGTTGTTCCAATTTGCATTTCTTTAGGAATACCCTGAGGTTCTTAATAGACTCTCAGAAACACCAGGGGTTCCTGGGAAGTGTGCCTTGAGGATAAGTGTTCTATCTTGTGAAAGAAGGAATTTGATTCCAGTGGGATCTGATTAAGTCTTCACCTGCCTTTCAGTAAAACCCTTTTGTTGTGAGCATAACACACCTCCAGTACAATATACACACAACTCTTTTTGTTGTGAGTATAAAACCGGAATGTCCAGCTCCGTCCACTTTCGTGAAGCAAGCCCCCACCCAGCCCTGCTCTCTGGTCCGGAAACAGCGCACGGCCAGACTCCGGAAGGCCCCGCAGGGTCCTCTCCAACGGCTACCTCCTCCCTCCATCCGAAAGGACATGCTCTTCTGACCTCTACTACTATAGTTTAGTGTTTGTTTTTTTTTTAAACAGCAAAATTTTAGTTGGCTATTTTAAAAGTTTATGTATGTGAAATTAAGTTTGTGCTCCGTTGCGTCTGGCTTCTTTACGTTTGGGAGATTCACCCGTGTGGCTGCGCGTCTGTAGTTTGCTTATTTTCACCTACACAGTCCTCTGTCGTAGGGCTGTACCGCAACTTATCCATGCTACGTTTGAAAAGACTTTTGGGTTGTTTCTAATTTGGGGCTATCACAAATAAAGCTGCTGAAGACATTCTTGTGCATGCCATTGGGGATTGGTGTCCCGTGTGGCTTACATGCTTCTGGTACAAGCCCTGGGTTTGCGTGTCTTTGACTCGCCTGGCGTGTTGGCGGGGAAATGAAGCACCTGCATTTCAAATCCCGGGATTTTTGCCTTGTATAGCTGCACTGAGCATGCGTCAAGTTTACATGGCTTTTAGCACCAAAAAATAAAGCTCTGTAACTAGCTGAAGCTTCCTGAAGAGAAGTCCCATGTCTGGTTCATCGGGTTCCTCTTGGAATCCTCCAGGCCAACACCAGATACCACAAACATGTAGCAGACATTTGTCAAAGCGTGACTGACTGCTTCCTCGCAGTCTCCTACTTCTACCTTTGGGGAGTGGGGCAGCTGAGGGAATCAGACTGTCCTTTTGTACTGAATTGCCTTTGCTCCTTGCGGAAGGTTGGTTAACAGTATTTGTGTGGGTCTGTTTCTGGGCTCTCTATTCTGTTCCACTGATCTGTCTTCTCTATTCTTGAGCCAACACCACACTGTCTCGATTCCTGAAGCTTACAGTAAGCCTTGAAGTTGAGTGGCATCAATCCTCTGACTTTGTTCTTCAGTGTTGTGTTGGCTGTCCTGGGTTTGTTTGTTTGTTTGTTTTTTTCTCTTTTGCCTTTTCATATAAACTTTAAAATCAGTTTAATAGCCACAGAATAACTTGCTGGCATTTTGATTGGGATTGCATTGAATCTACGGCTCCAGTTGGAAAGAGCTGACAGTTTAACAATATTGAGTTTTCGTATCCATAAACATGGAATGTCTCCTTTTATGTAGACCTTTGAATTGTTTCACCAGAGAGCTGGTATGTATTTTGTTAGGTTTATACCTTAAACAATGCAAATGGTACTGTTTTTAACTTTAAATTCTAATTGTTCATTGATGTACATAGAAAAAAATTGACTTATATATTAATCTAGTACTCTGAAAACTTGCTGTAATTGCTTTAGTTTGGGGAATTTTTCTCTTGATTCTTTGGGATTTTCTATAGAGTAGATTATGTAATTTACAAATAGTTTTCTCCCTAATCTGTTTACCTTTTATTTCCTTTTCTTGTCTTATTGCATTAGCTGGAAAATCCAATACAGTGTTGAAAAGGAGTAGTGAGAGGGGATGTCCTTGCTTTGTTGCTGCTCTTAGGGGAAAACCATCTATTTTCTCACAATTATGTATGATGTTATTTGTAGGTCTTTTGTAGATTTCTTTATCAAGTTGAGGGAAACTATTCCTAGCTTGCTGAGTTTTTACTATGAATGGGTGCTAGGCTTTCAAAAATGCTGTTGCTACGTCTATTGATATGCTCATGTCATTTTTCTTCTTTGCTCTGTTCATGTAATGGATTACATTAATTGGTTTTTGAATGTTGAACTGTCTTGCATACCTGGAATAAACTGCAATTGGTCTTGGTGTATAATTTTTAATTTTTTAACTATATTTTATTGATTATGCTATTACAGGTGTCCCAATGTTTCCCTTTGCCCCTCCCCTCCACCCAGCACCCTCACTCCCTCAGGGAATCCTCCCCCCCAACTGTTCATGTCCATGGGTCATGCATATAAATGCTCTGGCTAGTCAATTTCCTATATTGTACTTTACATCCTCGTGGCTATTCTGTAATGACCTATTTGTACTTCTTAATCTCCTCACCTCTTCACCCATTCCCCCACAGCCCCCTGCCATCTGGCAATCATCAAAACCCTGTCAACATCTATAATGGTCTATGTTCTAGTTTGCTAAGTTTGTTTTTTAGATTCAGTTGATAGGTATTTATTCCCATTTTATTGTTCATAGTTTTGATCTTGTTTTTCTTAAATAAGTCCTGTGTGGGAAGCTCTTTATCTGCCCTTTGATTGTAAATGATAGCTTTGCTGGGGAGAGCAATCTTGGCTGCAGGTCTCTGCTTTTCATGACTCTGAATCAATTTCTTGCCAATCCCTTCTAGCCTGCAGTTTCTTTTGAGAAATCAGCTGACAGTCTATGGGAACTCCCCTGTAGGTAACTAACTTCTTTCCTCTTGCTGCTTTTAAGATTCTCTTTAACCTTTGGCATTTTAATTATGATGTGTCTTGGAGTGGGCCTCTTTGCATCCATCTTGTTTGGGATTCTCTGTGTTTCCTGGACTTGTATGGCTAGTTCCTTCACCAAATTAGGGAAGTTTTCTTTCATCAGTTTTTCAAATAGAGTTCCAATTTCTTGCTCTTTCTCTTTTTCTGGCACTCCTGTGAAGCAAATGTTGGAATGCTTGAAGTTGTCCCAGAGGCTGCTTATGCTATCCTTTTTTTTTTTTTCCCCATTCTTTTTTCTTTTGTTCGGATTAGGTTTTTTTTTTTTTTGCTTCCTTATGTTCCAAATCATTGATTTGTTTCTTGGTTTCATCCACTCTACTGTTGTTTCCCAGTAAATTGTTATTTCAATTAGTGTATCCTTCATTTCTGACTAGATCCTTTTTATACTCTTAAGGTCCTCACCAAATTCCTTGAGCATCCTTTAACCAATGTTTTGAACTCTACACGATACATTGCTTATCTCCATTTTGTTTAGTTCTTTTTCTGGAGCTTTCATCTGTTCTTTCATTTGGGCCATGTTTCCTTGTATCCTTGTTTTGGCAACTTCTCTGTAACTAACTTCTCCCTATTAACTAACTCCGTGTGTTTGCTATGACTCCCTATCTTGGCAGCATGGCCTAATGTAGTAGGTGTCCTGTAGGGTCCAGTGGCACAGCCTCCCCTATCACCCAAGCTGAATACTCAAGGTGCACCAACTGCGTGGGCTGAGTACATCCTCCTCTTGTAGTTGAGCCTTGATTGCTTGGCATATCAACAGATTTACCCAGGCCAGTCAGCTCCAAGGATTGGCTGTGACCACTGACCACCAATGTCCAGCCTCTGTGGAGGATCAGCTGTGCAGGAGCAGGATGGTGGCGCTCTGATGTGGTCTGTAGCTGCCCACTGGGTGTGCAGGCTCTGGGGTTTCCCAGGTGGTACAGGCCAAGGTCAGTCCCCACCTATGTTCTGCTCTGAGTCACCCTGCATGAGCTATTGTATAATTCCTTTTATGCATCATTGGATTCTACTTGCTAATATTTTAAACCTATGTTCATGAATGTTGGTCTATACTTTTCTCGTAATGTCTTTGTCTGGTTTTGATGGTGGGATAATGCTGGTCTAATAAAATGAGTTAGGATTAATATACCAGTCAATTGCTTTCCTATGTACAGCAATGAACAACTAGAATTCAAAATTAAAAACAGTACCATTTACACTAACACCCTTCAAAAATGCATTACTTAAGTAGACATCTAACAAAATATGTACAAGATCTCTGGTGAAAGAAATCTAAGACCTCATATTACTCTGCTTCTATTTTCTGGAAGATACTGAATATTGGTATAATTTTTTCCTTAAATGTTTGGTAGAATTCACCAGTGATCCATTTGGGCCTGGTGCTTTTAGTTATTCTCTCTATTAGTCCTGGTAGAGCATTTTTCAAGGAATTGTACCATTTCATCTAGATTACCAAATTTGTGGGGATAAGTTGCTCATAACATTTTTATCCTTTTAATGTCCACAGGATTAGTAGTGATATGGCCCCTTTCATTTCTGATATTATTTATATCTACCTTTTTTATTGGTTAGCCTAACTGTAAGTTTATAAATTTCCTGAATCACCTTTGGTTTTGTTGATTTCCTCTATAGAATTCCTGTTTTCAGTTTCATTGCTCTAATTTTTCTTTCCTTTGCTTACATTGGATTTAACTTGTTCTTTTTTCTGGATTCCTAAGGCAGAAGCTTAATAAGATTATTAATTTTAGATTTTTTTCTTATTCCAATAGGAGCATTTAATGCTGAAACTTCCAAGACTGCTTTTGCTACATCTCACAAATTTTGGTAAGCTGTTATTTTCATTTGCTCAAAATATTTCTCAGGACTTCTCCTTTGACACATGTGTTATTTAGATATGTGTCTAATATCCAACCATCTTGGAACTTCCTAGCTATCTTTCTATTGTTCATTTCTAGTTTAATTCTACTGTGGTCTGAGCATACTTGGCATTTAAATTTCGTAATGTGTTTTATGGACTAGAATGTGGTCTATTTTGAATGATCCATGTGAACTTGAGAATGTGTATTCTGCTGTTATTACTTGATGTCAATTAGATGAAGCTCACTGATGGCACTCTTCAGTTCAACTGTCCGTACTGATTTGCTGCCTGCTAAACCTGTCAATCACTGATATCAACTGTAGACTGTATTGCGTGCAGCACCGCAGGTCTCCTTCCATCACCATGTATCCCCCAGCCCCTACACCTCTTTGATTAGTGTTACCATGAATTTTCTCTATCCCTTTGCTTTTAATGTGTCTCTATATTTAAAATGGGTTTCTTAAACAACATACAGATGGCTGTTTTAAAAATTCCACTGAAAGTCTTTTTTTTGAGGGGAAGGGAGGAAGAGAGGAACAGAAACGGTGATTAGTTGCCTCTCCTACTTGCCCTGACCAGGAACCGAACCCACAACCTAGGCATGTGCCCTGACCGGGAATCAAACTGTTTAAACTGTGACTTTTCAGTTTATAGGATGATGCAAAACCAGGCCAAGGCTGATGAGTCTACATAACTGACATTTCAAGTGGTTACTGACATAGTTTAATATCTACTACATTTGTTACTACTTTCATTACCCTTGTTTTTTATCCCTATTTTTGCCTTCCACTCTTTTTTTGGGAGGGAGAGGGGAGAAAAGGCTAAGTATGAAAAGAAAGGTATGTGTGGATTTTGAGCATCCAGAGGCTAATGATAGTGGGCCATTGTATTTCTTTGGCTGCTTCCTTTTTGGAAAATTCCCTATTAAATGCATTCTTGTGAGCATTAAAGTACTGCTATAGAAGCTACTATAGAAGCTAAAATGTACCATCTTGTCTTCATTCCTTGGTGCCTAGAATGTGGAATGACGGCCTGGGCCTGGACAAATGGGCGCTCCAAAGCAGGCCTGTGCGTCTTCATCAAACGATGAAACAATTAAAATGTATTCACAGTGGTGGGCTAGTGGCGTTGTCCTGCAGCCACTTAGAAACCTTTGCTTAAGGAAAGTAGATTCAGTCCTGTGGAAACCCTGCTTAAACCCGAGTTAAAATCCTAACTTAAAAAAATTTTTTTAAAAGATTTTACTTTTTAGAGGGGAAGGGAGGGAGAAAGAGAGGGAAAAAATCATTGATCGGCCGCTTCTTGCATGTGGCCCGTTCAGGGATGGACCTGCAACCCAGGCATGTGCCCCAACCAGGAGCTGAACTGGTGACCCTTCGCTTTGTAGCATGTAGCTTGGCCCTACAGTGGTCAGGGCCAAGTCCTAGGTTCTGAAGAGAGGAAGGGCTGTAAATTCCTAAGAAACTAGATTCTTTTGTACTGCTGGGTGAGAAAAATCCTATAGGAAAAATGCTGGCTCCCTAGATGTGATCTCAGGAAGCTGCAGTCATCATGCACTGAACTTTCTATGCTAAGAAGAGAGTTATCAAGAGAGACCAGGAAATGCAACTTTGATTCAAGAACCATGAAATTTTGTCAAGCAAAAATAGTCTTTATTCAAATTTAATGGAAACAGGGGTCACTATACTTTGCAAGACGGGGAAAAATAAAATTAAAAAAAAATTCTTTTCTTTTCTTTTTTTTAATATAAAACAATATAATCACAATACCAGAATATGGAACTCTATAGTTTATTTCCTATGGGTTACTGCAGGTATCAATTTTCCTTGACTGTGCTATTCACAACTTTGTTAAGTCCAAAAATATGAAACCAAAGTGGTAGGAAACTTAAGACTTAGCACTTTCACTAAATGGCGTACATCAAAGGGCATCAATTCAGGGGCAAAAATGGTTGAACTCACCATACCTACCTATGTCATCATTCCAGCCTTAAACCCATCCAGGTACTGAGCTCCCTGTAAGAAAGGCCAGGCCTGAAAGCCAAGGCATTTTGGATATTCTACTGTGGGCCATGAGGAAAGGGGGTTTTCAAAGAGAAGATTGTTTTCAGTCGAGCAGGAAGGCCTGGTGCCAGGAGGCTTTACAGAGAGGAAGCACTTAGATTTAACAATTGTAGACACACCATTGGGGGAGTTAAAAATGTACAGCAGTGACATATGTTCTACTTCAACCACTTGTGCTACGGCTACCGAACATGTACAAAACTTCTCGGGTAGTTCCAGCTGTGGTCGTAGCCAGTTAGGACCTTGAGTGGGATCTGGATCTAGACTGGGAAGGCGATCTGGACGCAGACCTGGATCTAGACTTGGACCGAGACTGGGTTTTTGAAGCCGACTTTGATCTGGAGCGTGACTCTGATGGAAGGTTTGGTTTGGATTTAGAATTGGACCTCGACCGGGACCGGGTCTCCTGATTGGTGCCAGCATCCTCGCCTTCCCCTCGGCCTTCCTTCTGGCCGGACTCGGGCTTGGCACGGTCCCGCTCCTTCGACCCCGAGCGGGACCGCGATCTGGACTGGGAGCGGTCGGCGTCTTCCTTCTTCTTCTTCTCGCTGCTGCCCGACTTGCTGTCTCGCTTGCTGCTGTGTTTTCTGCTCCTCTTGCTCTTGCTGCGGCTGCGGCTGCGGCTCCGACTGCGGCTCTCCTCCCGGCTTCTCTTCCGCCCCTTCCTCTTGTCCTTGCTTTTGCTGCGACTCCGGCTGCGGCTCCTGCTGCCTCCCTTGCTCCTGCTCCTGCTCTTGCGGAGGCCTTTCTCCTGACTCCGGCTCTTCTCCTTGCTCTTGCTCTTGCTCCTGCTCCTGCTGCCCCGCTTCTCCTCCTCCGCTCTTCTCTCCTGACTCCGGCTCCTGCTTTTACTCTTGCTTTTATGTCGACTGGGACTCCTGCTCTTGGACTTCCCGGTGTTGTTGTTGTTCTGAACCTTCTCTTCAACTTGATCTTTACTCTTGCTGCGGCGCTTGTCCACACTGCGGCTGCGGCTGCGACTCTTGTCATCCTTGCTGGGGCTGCGGCTTTTCTCTTTCTTGCTGCGGCTGCGACTCTTGCTGCGGCTGCGGCTCTTGCTCCGGGAATGGGAGCCCGACCTGAGAAGACACAGTGATGTCGAATTCACACGCAACTTCACACTTGATGCCAATCGTCAGATGCAAAGGCCAAGGGAACGTGGAGCTATGCCCTACAATATAATCCACGGCCCGGCCAGTAACTGCTTTCTAAACCCCCAGGATTCCAGTGCAGAGCTGGAGAAACTGGGTGAGGTAAGACTAGTAGTCACATGATTCAAGTCAACGTGGCAAATGGTGTGGATGTTTCCTGCCCACCCCCTCCACTTACACCAAGGAAGACCCACCTGGACCGAGATCGACTCTTAGAATGACTGCTTTTGCTGCTGCCACTCCGGCTTCTGCTCTTACGAGAATGTCTGCTACGAGAGCGGGACCTGCAGGAAGAAAACATTTCTTTAAAAAAAAAAAAAAATACTTGCTGACAAAAGTGGAGCCGAATGGAGTCCACTCAGACAGTTTTTCAGTAAGAAAACACGTGTAGCACAGACTGTCCAGGCATGAAGTTGAGAGAAACCTTTTTCCTGTGCTCTGGGCCCACAGATCTAGCTGCTCACAAACATTCCCCCCTGGATGGCTTCCGCAAAACTCTTAGCAACTCTAATAATAATGTACTTTCCCCCGGACCCACAGTGCTGGGTTCCTTCCTTTCTTCCTTCTTTCCACAGATGCCGCTGTTACTTACCCCTCCTCACACCAGCCACCTGGCTCCCCCCCATCTGCTCATATACTGGTCATTCGGCCTCTTCTCCAGTCTGCCCACCTCTGCTCTCCACGCATCTCCTCTACTCAACTCACGTGACCAGAGAGCCATTTTAAAAACACGCTCCAAGCTTTTAAAAAAATCTGTAATAAGCCGAAACTGTGGACTCTTATTATTGCCTACCAAAAGCAACAAGGGATCCAGGAATAAGGCAGGACATGAACGAAAAAAAAAAAAAAAAATAAGGGCCCAGAAGATCTCATCACAGCAAGAAGGGGAAAACTTCCAAAGGTCCCTGGGAACCGTCATCTATGAAAGGACTCTCGCCGACAATGTTGAACCTGTATCTTATTTACTCCTGTTTAGATCTAAATTTCAGATTACAAGTACTTCAGGAGATAAAGTTCAAATTCAGTGACACCAAGAGGAAACACAAATAAATTCAGAATGGGAGATAGTGTTTAAAAAGACCCCAAGGAAAGTAAGTGTCACAGAAGCAAGGGGGAAGGAGGACTGCTTCAGACTGAAGGGACCTCCCGACCCCTTGCAACCCATGTCTGTACTGGACTGGACCTTGGTCAGAACACACACACACACACACACCTGCACACACGCGCGAGTGTGCAGCTACAAAGACATCCCTGGAACAACTGGGGAAACTGGAACACAGCCTGGACATGGCATAACTTGACAGCGTCACTATGAATGTTCTCAGGTTAGAAAACAAGTGTGACTATTCTCCTTGGAGACATGCCGAGGTGCTGTGGAGCGGAGTGTCATGATTTACACAACTTCCCTTCAAACACTGCAACAAAACCAATGTATAGGGTGCGTGTATAAATACACATAAACACACTTCTGTCATGTATGAATTGTACATACATACAGAGTGGGAGACGAGAGAAGACGACAAAATGCTAACAGCTGCGGAAGCCAGAAGGAAGTATAGGGATGTTTTGTAAATGATTCTTTCAACTTTGTTTGAAAATGATCGCAATAAAAAGTAAGTTTGGGGAAATATTCAATAAAGCCTATTCACACAAAAACCAAACCAAACCAAAAGGTACTGAAACAGGAGCCAACTTGAAGGGTTCCCAATGACAAAAAAGGGGAACAATCTGAGCATAAAAAACGATGACTGCAGTAAATGAAACATTAAATGTATAAACACCTAAGAATTCATTCAAAATGATACTAAACAACCACCCTCATCACCTTTGGGGTTTGCTAGGGCACATTTAATATTCTGAAAGTTGGTAAATAGAGGTACCATACTATTTTGCATGTCTGATAAAAATTCTATTTCTGGGTAACAAAAGAACAGATGAGGGAAATCATCCTTTATAGAATTATAGCCTTTAAATGCAGAAGGAATGATAAAATTAGAAAGTCGTCATTTTGCAACCTCCAATGAATGGCTCTAGCCAATGATTATCAACAGATGCGGAAACTGTTGGGGGGTGTTGATGCAGAGCCCTGTACTGGACGGCGCGGGCCAACCACTCCCGAACACACCGATGCACGCTGTAACCATTCAAAGTGGGGTGTCCAGACACCACACGAGTGAGACAACAGGAAGCACGAAGCGCTACTCATGAAGCGCACCTAGCCTTGCTGGAAATGCCTCAACATCTAACGGTGAGTTTATAAGAATGGTGGATAGGCTAAAGGAATGTGTCAAACACCTCCGCAAGGACACAATTAGCAAAATCTCAACTATGGGGAAGTCTTCAAAACAGATAACCATTTTTCCCAACAACTAAATGCATGGGAAAAAAGAGAAGGCGAAGAAGGATATATCAGTGACTCAGGAGAACTAAGACTCGCCGCCCTGGCCAGTGTGGCTCCGCTGGCGGAGCGTCATCCCATGGACCGAAAGGCTGTGGCTTTGGTCTCCGTTTGGGGCGCACATGAGGGAGAACCAATCGATGTTTTTCTCTCACATCAACGTTTCTTCCCCTCTGTTTCTCCCTCCCTCCCGTCTCTAAAATAAATAAATTGCAACACGCAGACCTAGTCTCCGCCCACCACCTCCAAGTTATGCTCCAGGGCTGTTTCGACCATGCGTCCCGGGGAAGCCTGTGCCTGCTCTCCGGACTGGTCGTGCGTGTGCATGTCCTCAGACAAACTCGGCACATCGGCAATTACTTCCTCAACACCCGCCTTCTCCACTAGCCTAAGTTTCATGAGGGCATGAACCGTGTTTGCCTTTTTCACAAGTGCCTGGCCCTGTTGCAGAGCAACTGCCGAGTAAGTCTCCAGTCTGGAGTAGCTGGAGCACCTGGGGGAGTGACCAAGGGGCTCATCAGCGACCGTGTTTGCTCCCAATGAGGGAGTGATCTGACGAACCCAAGAAGAAATGGCAAAGAAGGTCACTGATTCCTGCCTCAGAGAAAGGACTTTACTTCTATTTGTATTAATGACATAAGAGTTCAAGAGCTTCACAAATAAATATTCGGTTCAAAGTTTTGAGTTACTGAACCAGATGGAACCACGCCACCGAGAACCCCGCAGGAGAATGGAAACGGGCTCTCTGCGCTCTCACCCACGAGTCCCCATGGGCTCTGGCACACGGAGGGCACAGTACCTGGAGTGACTCCGGCTCCTGGAGTAGGACCGGCGCCTTCTGGAACCAGGCTTGTCTTCAACTAATCTGATTTTCCTGCCATTGACTTCGGTTCCATCTAATTTTTCCAAAGCTCTTTTCATATCGGAGTAAGACACAAATTCGATCACCCCTTCGTTTTTGCGGCCCTTGTGAGCGTCTGCATACGTCACTTCTCCCGCCTGGCGCATGTAGTCCTGGAGGGAAAGAGTCGCCGATAGGTTAACACATACTTTGCTAAAGTAGCTAATGCAATCACCATTACAAAAGTTTTCCCTTTCTTTTTGGAAGAAATGCTAGCTTTCCTCAGAATAAAGTTTACTCTGAAAATATTTCAATCTACACACCGATCATTTACCGAGGTTCTTTGTAGCATCAGGCATTTGGCAGGTGGTAGAGATAATAAATATTTAACTGTTCTTTTAAATAAAGTTATGTGTAACTATAAAACCTTTTAGTTACCTATCACTTTCTAGATTTTATACTGGCATGTCCTTTGTTTACAGAAGCTTTACAGGCTCCTGTCACAACTTTTAATTCAGGATTTTTACATTTCACTATGAATTCTTGTCTAAAAACATGTACAGATATAGATAACACAAGCAAATACATAAAGGGATTATAAAACTAGAACTTCAATTTTATTCGAAATTGTTATCGCTTCAAAGCAAGTGACAGACAAGAAGGCCACAGAACAGGGCTGCCCAGCTCTGGCTGCAGCCCACCCGCGTCCCTTCACTGCTTCTGGCCTTCTTCCTCGCTCTCTTTAAGGACCTGATGCAGCCCAATGAGAGAGTACAGCTCACATGCTAGACATGTACAAGAGTGGTATACAAAAGAGAGGTCTGATTAGTGCTCGAAAAGAAATGAAATTTAGATGAATTTAAAACTCAGGGACTTATGGCCGATTTCCCCAGATTTCTTTATATGTAATATACACTCAATATGAACATTCAGTAGCAATTTATTTTTATTACTTTCATTTCTATATTTTACTGTCATAAACACCGAACACATGCCATTTGATACTATTTCTTTGTTCAGTGAATCATAAAATGTTTACATGTCTTCATAATTTGTGTGCCCAATACTTTTTCTGAGGATTTCACAATTGTTGGGACTTTTAAGTTTTTTATACACACACACACACACACACACACACAGTCTTTTGCTATTATTCATAATCCAGCAATAACATCTTTGCACAAAAACTGCTTTACTTCAGCTAACATGTTGAATGTTTACTGTATGATAGTTATATGCTGATTAATTCAGTCCTAATTACAGCCATGTGAGCAGATATAATCATTACCCCCATTTTACAAGAGAAAAGTGGAATACTGAGAGGTTAAGTAGACTGCCCAAGGTCATTCAGGTAGTGGGTGAACAAGCCAGGGTCTGAATGTAAGCAGCCGGCCGTCAGAACTGGAATTCTTAACAGCCACGCCATGCTTGTGTTCTGGCCTGAGAAGCGTGTCGTCAGGCACCTGCGTCGTGGGAGCCTGTAGAGTGCACCCACACAGAGCCAGCCCGGACGGTGCAGAGCCTACCACCCACCCAGGCCACACGGAATACCCACCACTGTCTAAGGGCACGTGTCCTCCGCTGACCAACATGTAGCCAGTGCGTGGCTGCTCCGCTGCATAGCACGGGCCGCCCTCAACGACACCAGAGGTGCACTGCTGTATACATCTCATCTCAGTGCCATCACCACGGGGTCTTATGAATTTACAGATTTTAAAAAGTAATAATATCCCCTGAATCTGTTTTATTTTTGCATTTCCTTGACTAATAGCTAACATTTACTGTGCCAGGAACCAGTATAGGCTTTTTTTTATATAAAAATGCCTTCTATTCTCACATAACCTTGAACAGAAATGAGTATTAGTCCTAGTTTATGGCCGAGGAATATGAAGCACAAGAGGAAACTGATGCGCTAAAGTGGAGTAACTGATAAATGGCAGACCTGGGATTAAGCCTGCTCTTAAGGCTGCCTTGACTTACTAGAAAATTGACTTCATTCTTCTCTCTTCCTAAGAGTGAAACTACCAAAGGTACAGAATATAAAACCGAATGAGGACACTGGTTAGGCCCCATTTTAACCCAAACGTTGAAAGCTTGTCCAGTTTCCACCCGCAGTGTTCAGCCTTCAGCTCTCAGAACACTGGGCCCCTCCAGTGCGTGTGGCCATGCTGGCAGACCCCCAGCAGGGGCCCGCTGCAATGGAGGCCCAACGTCCAGCTGTTCTGCTAAGACCGACTGCGTGAATTAATCTTTTTCTGGATCTCATCTTTGTTATCTAAAGGTAACCAAGTTTTCTAGAAACAACAAACAAACAAACAAACAAACAAAACCCTTCCTTTTTCAGGCGAGTCTTAGCTGATGTGGCTCATTGGCTTGAGCGCTGGCCTGCGGACCAAAGGGTTGTTGGTTTGATTCCCAGTCGGGGCACATGCCTGGGTTGTGGGCCAGGTCCCTGGCAAGGGGTGTGTGAGAGGTGACCACACATTGACATTTCTTTCCCTCCCTTACCCTTTCTCTAAAAATTAATAAAATTTGTTTAAAAAGTAATTTAAAAACGTTTTCAGGATAAATATTCCATGAAAATCAAATAAACCTTATGAAAAAACATGGGTCACATAACCATTTTTACCAAAGAGGGCCTACACTCGAAGCTGATGTAAACTTGCATGTTACAACTGATGGTGCAGGAAACACTGGTGGTTGTAACTTTTTCTTTAATTGAAAAACAAACAAACAAACCCTACACTGGTATCTCTCTGTAACATCGATTTTCAACCAGTGTGCCACAAGAATTCTAAAACATGCAATACCTGACCAATTTAGCCAGAGGCACGGACCTGTTTTCCCTTGGACTGTCAAATAAAAAAAATGACAGCAGCCAACACAACAATAGCCAACTGGTGTGATGAATCAAAATTATACTATTTTTTTTGGGTTACATTGGCAAAAAACATATTTTTGGTGTGCCACAGAATTCAGTCATTAGTTTACGTGCGCCATGAGGTGAAAACAGTTGAAAACCGCTGCTCGCTCACGTCCTCCGTGGAGGAAAATCTTGCGCAACACCGAATGGCCTTAGAGGGACGGCCCCATAACGTACGGCAGCGGTGAAATTCCGATGTCTTCTGTGCTCAGACAGAAACTTCACTTACAGAGTCTCCAAATGCTTCGGGAAGGCTTCAACCACAGAATACCGCTGCATTCTGCGTGTGCCTAGGCCTGCATAAAACTCCTCCTTCCCAACTGCGACTTTCTGCCCAGCCATCCACCCATTTACTTTGAGAGAGACAGACACACTGATCTGTTGGCCCACTTATTTATGCATTCTTTGGTCGATTCTTTTCTGCGTCCTGACCAGGGATCAAACCTGCAACCTTGGCACATTGGGACAACACTCCAGCCAACTGACCTACCCGGCCAGGGCCAACTCTTGCCCAACCTTATCCCAGAAGGTTAACAGGGTCCAAACCTTTAGGTCTTGCCAGCTGCACCGACTTGACAAATTTTCCACAATAAGTCTGTATTCTGTGCGGGTGGGAGGGCCATACTTATCTCGGCCACTTCTTCTATAACCATAACCACCTTTGGAAGGTTCAAATAGATAAGATTACTTCAGTGGGGGAAAAGGCAAAAAGGATATAGCACATATTCCCCTTTAATATACCATTCACCCCCAACCCAAACAGCACATATATTTTAACTCTATCCCCACCCTCAAATCCAAACTAGATTTTTCTTTTAAAAAAGCAATCAAACATGAAAATTTAATTCAATTTACAAAGTTGTAAGTATATATATTCATTAATATTTATATTTAAAGTTAACATGCATAAATTAAAAACTATTAACAATTTAACAATTTAGAAATAAGTAACCAAATTACTAAATCAGTTACTGGTGTTACTCACAGTGATTAAAGTTTTTGTGAATATTTTATATGAGAGAAAAAAAAGATTTTCAGGCACCTATTTCAGTTTAATCTCATCTGTGTCTAACCCTTGGGATCCTCACCACCCAGGTCTAATGGGGAAAGGTTGCGGTCGTCACATGGCTTCCTGTTTTGGTCAGCCAAGGGCCACAATGGTTCAAAGAGCCACGCATGGAAAGGTAACCCAAGGTCAGCAAATGGAACAGGCAGTCATCTTAGCCTCAAAGGATTCTTTTAATTAAAACATTGAGGTCTTTGTTAAATCTATGTTAAACAATTGCATTACAGAGAAAAACAAAACAACACAAACATACATCATTAAACATATTTATAAAGTATTAAAACAAGAAATTTATGCCATTAATTTAATTAAAATTAAACATTATCAAAGATGTTTATTTGCAATTTTACATTTTAAGATACATAATTTTAAAAACAAATGGCTTAAATATCAATACATTTCAGCGTAACAATAGTTTAATTACTTAAAAATTAACATTTAATAACAAAGGCATGTCACCGATACAAATGCCCTTTAAATGCTTACTGCGTCCAGAACCGTAACTGCCGTCTCGACGTGGGCCGCGGGCATGCTCAACAATTACTCGCTCACCACAAAGGTCTTTGCCATTTAGTTCATAAACAGCATCATCTGCATCACGCAGATCATCAAACTCCACAAACCCGTATCTAGAAGAGAGCAAACGAAAGCCTGGTTGGCACCCTTTTGACATCCAGCTTCACTACATTAAAGAGAAAACAATGAGGTTCATGCTGAGCAAAGGTTAGGTGGGGTTTGCAAACTAAGGATCGACTTTCTCCTCCCTCTAACTGAAACCACTTTGCTTGGTGCCAACAGGCACTACGAGGGGACAGGGAGACTTCTCAAGGTGACCCCTGTCTTTCTAGAAGGAGACTGGCTAAATCTGGAGACCGCCTCTTTTGTTCCCCAAGTCGCTGGTGGCAACTACAAAGACCTCTGCAGGGGGGCTTGGTATAAGGTGTCAAAATACCACACAGA